GACCCGAACCCCGGACAAGCGGCAGATGATGGATGGATGGATGGATGGAGGATCCACACCTTGTGGAGGAGGTGCGGATCAATTTGCGGCAACTCAGAAGCTGGGAGGTTCAATGCCAATACACGATTACCAGTTTAACGTTCCGAACGGCCGTTCATAATTTGAAATGTTCGTAAGTCATTATTCAACATCATTTTAAGGGTATTTGCAAGTACAAAGATCTAGGATGCTGGGAGTACGCACATTACACTGCTGTGCTGCAGGAGTAGCGGCCAGAAGTCGTACTAGGTGGAATTGGCACGCACAAAAAAAAAATTGATGTTGTGGACAGGAAACAGGCGCTCAGTTAACATAATTTGGATTTACAGTCCTCTTCCTTTGTATGTCTGTAAGTTTGTAAGTTGAAAGTTCGTAAGTAGAGGAGCGTCTGTATTACAGTGTCTAAGGATATTCTGATTAAGGTACATTTTGAGTATCCTACCAGAATACAATACTGAATACATTCAGGATTCAAACATTACATGCTTATTCATAGTATTCTGCCCAAACCTGCATGACCCTCAACCCTCACACTTACACAGACGAGTAACAATAAAAGAGACAGTATCATAAACTCGCTTTTCATTGTGAACTCAGACGTGTTTTTATCCATCCATCCCCCTGCTGTTCAGACCCATACATAAGTCAGAATTAATGGATTTGGACCAATCAGGGCTCAGTCCCACACACACGGAACACCTCCGGAAAACAGCAGAGGGCGGTCACAGTCTCTCCTCCCTGCACCACTCAGAGCTCACCAGACCGGTTCCACTGGTTCCTATCAGTGCACCAGCCTCTATTTCCCTCCTTTCCCCTCTGCCTGTTTAAGCCCCAGTTCCCCAGCAGTCCTCATTCTGACCTTGAACCCCTGGCCTATGTTTCCCTATCTGTGCTAGTTCTTGCTCTCTGTGTTTGTACCTGGTTCTGCTGTGTCCCAGTTGCCCTGTCCCTGCTATTCCTGTCCTATACCCTGATTTTACCCTTATTAAACCCTTTTCTCCTCATCCCTCACCTCTGGATCTCTGTCTCCTTTTCTGCTCCCCTTACACCCAGTCCTGACACAATGAGCCTCCACACAGCAGAAGTTATTAAATGGATTAGAAACACCCACCTCCATTTACACACATAATAAGTATGAAAACTACAGGGAGACTCACCTAATTTAAATGTGTTGCTATTCCAGGCAAGTAGTTGGTAATAAATAGCAAGCATCAGCATGTCAAACAATCTATGACGATCTGTAAGGCAAACAGAGCAAATCGGACACCCTCATTCTCTCATCAGTCTATACAGATATAACATGATATTAAATAACAAAGTGTCCTTGGGCTTTTCTTCCCCTGAGATAAATCCTGCCATCCCCAGGGCCTCACTACACTGTGAGGTCATGCACAGTAAGGCCCATGATCCAAGGGCAGTGGGGGCCAAAACACAGACCAATGAGTCTAATGCCCCTGCGAGTCAGAGGGTCCCTCGGAAACCCGTGGCACGATGAAGGTGAGGGCCGGAGCATGTCGGCTGGGTGAGGGGGAGATTCCAGGCTGTCCCACGTTGCAGCCAGGTGCCCCCCCAGCCTGTACACCCTGTGTCACCCTAAATCAGGTCCACACAATAACATCCTATTGGGTAAAATGTCAGGTGCACAGGGTACAATTGTAATCTGTCAAACACCAGAACCTGCAAACTCCACACAAAGAGCAGAGGTGGGACTCGAACCCCCAGCCCTGGAGCTAAGAAGCAGCAGTGCTGCCCTTCTGGGCCTGTGTGCCACGGAAAATGAAGCAGCTCTTAACCTCATTCTGCTCAGAATATGATCAAATAAATCCACATAAATTTACTTACATAGGAAGTAGCGCATGATTATAAGAATATCTCTAAGTCGTACTGTTCTTCCCATCCTTCTGGAGCGTATTATCCAAAACACACCAAAACCAACTGAAAAAAGGGAAGATAAGTTTCAGTCAGCAGACACAGAGAGAAAAATCAGATATGCTCAGTGATCCTGTGTTTAAAACCCTGCACAGCACTGTCACCTGGGAGTTCTGGGTTTAAATCCCATGTTGGATGTTGTACTAAAAGTGCATTCCAGTTTAAAAAGCAGATTTAAATGGCTAATAAAAGGTTAAACAAGGGTTTTTCAGTTGGGTATTCCATCATAGTACTCTAATTGTGTTCATATTAAAATGGAAAGCACACATTTAAGTATGAATGTCATTCAGATGCTTAAGTTTAACGTTTATGTGTTTAATTCACTACAATGTAGAAAATAAATACCTCTATAATCAATTCTATTCCAGTGTTCCTAAAATTCCAGAGTCTAAAACAAATTTTACATATATACATTTGCAAAACTTGAAAACATACTTACCTGGGAATAAAACCAAGAGGATCAGAAACATTAATAAAGATGTTCCAAGTTGTTGCTTCCGCACATCAGAACATTTTGCCAGAAAAACACTGACAGCAACTAAAATAAAGTAATAATAAAGTCAGTCACCGTGAAATTCATGTCAGACAGAGTACAAACACAGATGTGTTCACTGGTTCTGCACAGGTCTGTCACCTGGGGGTTCTGGGTTTGAATTCCCTATTGAACATTGTGGTGTGAAAAGTACATCCCAGGATGTCTGAGATGGATATCTGATCATACATCCCTAAATGTACATATAAATTGTAAAAAAATATGTTAAAAATGTACATTTCTTAATTACCAGTGGACAAAACAAACAAAATGAACATATACATTATCCATCCATCCATCATAACCACTTCTCAAATACAGTTCCATGGTGAGACTACCCCAAAAAACCCAGAGCAGGGTACACCCTGGTGGGGTGCCAGTCCATCACGGGGGGGACCAGAACACCTGCAGGCAGAGGTGTCATGCTGATAGACACTGAAGGGGCTCAGGGCCCCTTGGGTTTTAGATTGAGGTTCCAGATTGTTTAGCCTGTTTTACACTATTTCTCAAGTGATATAATTGTCATATAATTATCATTGCTAGCAATAGGTTGTTTTTACAACTTTTTTCATTTTAAATTTCACAAAGTAAAGAATGTAAAGGTTAATATTCAAACCTAAAACTCCCATGATCTTTTGCTTCAATAAGTTTACATGGCAGTGAAGAGCAGTATGGTAGACAACAGGTACATGAAAGGAGTGCAGTGTCAGGTAGCATATAGCTAATATTCTGAATTTCTGATTACTGCACTGTATCATTCATTTCCTGTAAGAAATGTGACTGGGGTGAGACATAGATCACAGCAGATTCAGCCTTTTGCTTCCATCAGTCCATAACATCTCTGGAAGTGCTTCTCAGGGGGCTGCTGGGATTGCTGTAGAGGCTGCTGGGATTGCTGTACTGTTCGGGAGTGGTGTAGTCGCTGTGTGCACTTGTGTTGTGCGCCTGTTGAAGCGGTTGATTTGAATTATCTGTAAAGTATATTTGAGTGTTTGTGTGCCAGCACGGTTACGTGGGTGGTTGTACACCTTCGGTACGTATGTTGATGCTTCCATGTCCCACTCTCGCCAGTGTGGGGAAGCGATAAAAAAG